CCCCCCCCCTCCCCCTCGGGCTGCGCACGCAGGAGTGACTCTTGCGCGCAGCCTTAGGTCGGACGTGTCCCCCTACGGGGGGATTTTGGACGACAAATAAAGCAGGTCCAAAAAAAATCAAACAAATGCTAAACAATTCTCCCCACATCGGCCTCATACTATTCTGTACTTGAATTTTCCTGCTGTAGAAGGGCAGGCCCGACTAAAGTGTAGCCCCCCCCCCGTCCCCTTTTCGGTACGATCGGCATGGGTATGATCGGAACGGGTAGGAGGACCAGCAGCATGACCTGCTCATGTTGAACAGGGCTCGCTGTCGGCGTCGCCGCGGTTGCTGTCCATTCGAGACAAGAGGCCTCCTGCCCAACAGCGGCCGCTGTCGGTTTTCGGCGGCATTTGTTCTTGGGCACCGAACCCAATATCTTCGTACCCGTCTCGGGCGTCCAAACCCTGAGATCCGACGTAACCAACAACAAACACTTCATCGAAAGCAATCACGACCGGAGCCCAGGACCCCATCTTTCTCCGCCAGTTCTCGAGCTGGATCGATCTGTGAGGGTCCTGGGGCCCGCGATTGCGCGAAGACGCCCGCTGCGAAAAAACGTGCAACGGCAGGATCTCAAGGAACCGCGTGCCGCCGAGCTCCGGCGCCCGGGGGGGAGTAAGAAGGGGCGGGCCTCCTCAGAAGGCTCGGAAGTCACCCGGCATTCTGCGAAGTTTTCTCTGGACCTTTCCTGAAGACGCCGAGAACCTCTCAGAAGGCAGGAGGGGCTACAGAGAAGCCCCGCCGCCATCTGAGAGGGCTTCTCCTTCTCACTTCTCGGGGATCTGCTGACCCGGATCAATCCAAACCCGGGTCAATTAGGCCTTGCAGGATCCTTCAGGGTCCTGCACCCAAGCCTGGGTCAATGCACCTCTGGCTCTGCAAGATCCTGTTGGATCCCGCTGGATCCTGCGCCCAAGCCCAGGTCAAGGCGACCCTGGCCCTGCAGGATCCTGCAAGATCGGGCGCTCCCGTTTGCATTGACCCCCGTCAGGGCTGGACCTAAACGTTGTTTGTCGTACTGTATTCGTTTTGTTGTTCGTTTTGCTCTGCCTGTTTCCCTGTACCTCCCTGCTAAAACGAAAAACAAAACACCGCCGAAGTCCAGCAAAACAGCGTTTAGGTCCAGCCCTGACCCCCGTCTTTTGAATCCCGAACTTCCCCCCCCCTCGCTCGCTGGAGGAGGAGGAGGAGTAGGAGGAGGAGGAGGAGGAGGAGGAGGACGAGGAGGAGGAGGAGGAGGAGGAGGGGAGGAGGGGAACGAGGAGGAGGAGGAGGAGGTTTTGCTGCAAGAACGATGCCTGGCGGGGAGGAGGGAGGAGGAGCGGAGGAGGAGGAGGAGGAGGAGGAGGAGGAGGGAGGCGGGAGGAGGAGGAGGAGGAGGAGGAGGAGGAGGAGGAGGAGAAAGAGGAGGAGGAGGAGGAGTAGGAGGAGGCGGAGGAGGAGGAGGAGGAGGAGGACGAGGAGGAGAGGAGGAGGAGGAGGAGGGGAGGAGGGGGAGGAGGAGGAGGAGGAGGAGGAGGAGGAGGAGGAGGAGGAGGAGGAGGAGAGGAGAGGAGGAGGAGGCTGCGAGAGGTTCTCCTTCTCACTTCCCCCCCTCGCTCGCCGCCGGCAAGCCCTTGTGCGCGCCGCCGAGCTCCGGCGCCCGCGCCGCCAGCGGGGCGGACGTTCAGCCACGCGTTGGCGCGGTCCTCGTAGCTCGGGCCGCTGCTCGGCACGGCCGGCCCGGCAGGCGAAGCCACGGCCGGGTCGAGGGTCCAGCACTCCGGGTGGCCTGGGCCGGGGGGGTGCCGCGCCGACACGTCCTCCTCCTCGTCCTCCTCGTCCTCGTCCTGCTCCTCCTCGTCCTCGTCCGCCTCCTCGTCCTCCTCCTCGTCCGGGGGGCCGCTCCTCCTCATCCTCCTCCTGCTTCGAGCAGGGGATGGACTACAGAGTTCATCTGCCCCAGACTCGGTTTTCCGTCGGATCTGCGAAGGAACGGAGAATGTTCCGTAGATCCATGGGACAGTCTACGTACTTTCTCATCAGATTCGGCGGAACAGTCATTTTTCTTGGGTAGATCAATTCTGTGGTCGATCCCTTCTTCGACTGCTACATCCTCCTCCTGCTCCTCTTTCTCCCTCCCTCCCTCCCTCACTCCCGACCTCCTCCTCTTCCTCCGCCTCCTCCTCCTCCTCCTCCTCATTCTCCTTTTCTTCCTCCTCTTCCTCCTTCTTCTCCTCCTCCTCCTCCTCCTCCTCCTCCTCCTCCTCCTCCCCCTCCTCCTCCTCCCCCTGCTCCTCTGTCTCCCTCCCTCCCTCCCTCCCTCACCTTCTGCCCTGAGGTCTCAGCGTCTCAATTTTTATGAGGCGGGCGTTTTCGCGTAGTTTCGGGCCCAAAGACCCTCACATATGGATCCGGCTCGGACCATGGTGCAGAACGATGGGGTCTGGGTGGTGATTTTGACGATGTTGTTTCAATTTTGCGCGCCGTCGGATCTCATGGTACCTCCTCCTCCTCCTCCTCCTCCTCCTCCTCCTCCTCCTCCACTTCCTCCTCTGCATATGCCTCCCTCCCGGGGGACCGCATTGCTAGAGACCCTAGGCACGAAGGGTCGGGTGGGAGGGCTTAGGATGGTAGGGTCCAGGCACACTTCTCCCCCCATCGTGCGTGTACTGGCCACCCTACCACCCGTTACAAACGGTTCCGTCAAACATTTCCAACCTTTCGACCTCCAGGATCGACCACGTTGGAAAGGGGTAGGGGGAGTTTGACTCCATTGCCCATACCGGGAGCATTGATCCCCTGGTCAGGGGCGTCGTTAGGGCTGTTCCCCCTTGGCCCGAAGAGCCCCCCCATTCGGGGATCACCACCCCGAACGGGGCCTACGAGAGCCCTCTTCTCTGCGGAGGTGCGCCGCCGAGGCGCCTGGAGCAGGGGCATTGCCCCACAGGTCAGGGGGGTCATTCGGGCCGTTCTCCTTTGGCCCCAAGAGACCCCCCATGCCCCCCGCACCGTGCCTACGAGGGCCATTCTTTTGTTGCGGAGGTGCGCCGCCGAAGCGCCTGGACCAGGGGCGTTTCCCCGCAGGTCACGGGGGGGCGTCGGGGGGGGGTTAGGGCCATTCCCCCTTTGGCCCTAAGAGATCCTCCCCCATTCGGGGATCACCACAGTGAGGCACCGCGCGGACCTGAGCGAGACCTCGCCGTCCCTGGGGGGCTGCGATCTGCGAAGCTGTCGCCGCTTTCGAGGGCTGCTGGTGGGTCCAGCGGAGTGAGGCACCGCGCGGGCCTGAACGAGACCTCGCCGTCCCTGGGGGGCTGCGATCTGCGAATATGTCGCCACTTTCGAGGGCTGCTGGTGGGTCTAGCAGAGTGAGGCACAGCGCGGACCTTAGCGAGACCTCGTCGTCCCTAAGGGGCTGCGATCTGCGAATCGATCGCCACTTTCGAGGGCTGCTGGTGGGTCCAGCAGAGTGAGGCACGGCGCGGACCTGGGCGAGACCTCGCCGTCCCTGGGGGGCTGCGATCTGCGAAACTGTCGCCACTTTCGAGGACTGCTTCTGGGCTCGCCACTTTCGAAGACTGCTGGAGGGTCCGGCGGAGTGAGGCAGAGCGCGGACCTGAGCGAGACCTCGCCGTCCCTGGGCGCCGTGTCATGTTGTTGCTGCCCCGCCGACGTGTCAAGCCCCTTGCCCACAGTGTCCTTTTGGACCTTGAGTCTTCCTTAATGGCTCAGGGGTTCACTTACTTACTCATCGTTTTTCCGTTGATTGGGGACCTGCGAACCTTCCGAATGCCGCTCGCAGGAGTATATGCGTCCATGTCACGTCGCCGCCTTCTCGTCAAATCTCCCAAACTACTGCCCCGCACTGCGCAAGGGTTGGGTATGTCGCCAGGGCAATGTTTATAAAAAATGCCGAAGGGGGGGCCAGAGATCTTCCGGACGCCATCCAGGGAGAGAGGAGAATAGTATTCATATTGTGTACTTGTCGACGAGGGAGGGACACGAAGGGAGGGGCGACGAGAATGCTGGGATAATGCTGAGGGTTGCCAGTGAGCAGCGAGGCCGCAGCTGGACCGGAACACCTCCCCCCTCGGGGGGCGGCTCGCGAATAGCAATCTACTTCCGAGACCAGAGGCCTCCGAGATGGGGTCCGAGCAGATGGGGTCGATGGATCGCACCGCATCGGCGATACATCGCCGATGCATCGGCGATGCATCGGCGACGTCGGCGATGCATCGGCGCCGTCGACGCGAAGCAGATCGGGCTCCACATCGAGCCGC